TTTGTAGAAATAGACGTTTAAAAGTATTTCTATTTTTAGCTTCAGCTGCCCCTACAAGGGGCCAATCACAATAATATGAGCACTAACTAAGACTACTGTCAGTTAATAATAAATAAGATTAAGACTGACCACAGTAACTGTCAAACCCTGCTGTAGTGGTCATATATTTTGCATTATTTTATTTTTCGTAGTCTCAGGGGAACACACTGCAACATAGAGCAAAATGTTTCAATAACTAGAAGGGCGAGTTAAAATTGAGCTGGACTGGCCTTTCAGCAAGTTCATTTGAAAAGTAACACTGTAAAACAGTTGTTTTCTGGTGAGCGACTCTTTTAGACAACATTCATGTCATGTTTGGTAAAACCCTATTTTAACAGATCATAGGAATTTCTATGGATACTTATTGTGCAACCCTGGTCGCCGATTTGTTTTTGTACCGCTATGAAACACTTTATGTTGAGTCTCTCTAAAACAATAAGATGTTATAGTCGCATTGATACCTTGATGATATTTTTAATTTAGATAATTCTTATTTTGATCATATGGTGTCCGACATGTATCTCCATGAACTACAACTTAATAAAGCGAACTCTTAAAATTTCAGTAGAGGAAGACGTACTCCATGCAACATCTTACGGGGTATATGTTTCTCAATTAAATATATTCACTAGAGCTTGTACCAACGTAAAGGATTTCAACGAACGTAATATTTTTATTACCAGCAAGCTTCTAAAATGGGGCTACCGCTATCATAAATTACGGAAATATTTTACAAATTTTTACAAACGTAATTTTGATTTAATTTCAAAATTCAATAGTGATATAAAAACTCTTCTGCGACAAAGGCTTAGCCTGAATGTTTTTTATGGGGATGAAATTTACAAACTTCGTAAGATTTTGGGTCATGGTAATTTTTCTGCTGTTTTTACTAAAATCTGGAAACAAAGTGATCCCTCGGAAGCATTAATCACAACAAAATTATAAGAGAATTGCAGACTCGGTTTGATTGAGTCTGTAAATAAAAGTCATTAAACGTTTTATAAGAGGTTATGACCCTTCTGTTTTAAGGCAGTTGGACACTACCCTTTTCTCTTTTGAATACATCTGACGGACCAAGTGGGAGACTCTATGATGGACAGTTCTTAAAGCCCTTTCGGACTGAATTGTCTTAATGTTCTTCTGCCTTGCTTCGCCGTGTAGCTGATTTTCTTGTCTTCCTTTAGGTCATTGAGTACTTTTGTAATGGTCATTGGGTTTACTTTTATATGTTTCTACATGTTGGTGTTTCTACATTCTGCTTAAGCCGGTGCTAGGGGGCGTGGACGGTAACTTGCACTTTCCAGTACCGTCCATGAACAGGCTCAATCAAACCGAGCCTGCAACATTTTCAATTTTGCCGTTTTTCTCTATTTTACTTATTTAACCTTTTGTAACAATAACAACTGTTAGAATATCACTTGGCGGAGTTTCACTTTACTTACACTGTCTCGTTTATAGGAACATGGTGGGGCTAAGAGTTAGGTTTGGTGCACCATTAACCGGTTTAAACTTTCCATCAATACTTGTGCTGCTGAACGTTCCAAGACGGCGCCCCTCTGTGTTCCCCAGATGTATGTATATGTTGTTTTATACTGTTTTTGTGACACTTTTGCTTGTGTCCCTTGTTGTTTTCTCGTCTACGGTAAGTATCTTCCCCTTTGCCCCTAGCCTTTCTTTAATTTACCCACTCCCTCTTCCTTGGGTCTCCTGTCCCCTTCCCCCGTGTCCTTATTTTGTTTGGGGTCCGTCTGGGATCCTTGTCGCTGGTTCTTGTTGCTGGGTCGTGTGGGGGTTGCGTTCATTGAACGCCGCCTATCCTTATCATATTTGGTACCTATCTAGCGTAAATCTAAATAATAAACATAAAGTTAAAATCTTGTCAAAAATCCATTTCATTCTATAACATGCAAAACACGATGTTCAACATATGAAAAAAACTTCATATTGTTTGTTGAAATCCTGTAGCTTCATTATCTGGATTCATTAATTCTACATTTGATCAACTATAATCAAATAAATTGTACATGAAGATGAATATTATGTTTAATTTGGATGCCTGAATCCCATGAAGTGTGGCAAGACCCAGGTGAAAAGTCTCCGCCAGCCATTAATCCTTTGGCGGAATTTATCTAAGAAATTTCTACTGACGCAAAAGATAATCAGTCTCATTTAAAGATGAAAACATCTATGTATACATGTATACATTTTGTATTGCCCCGGGTTACTGTAACTATGGCAAATCTAAGCCGTGTGACTTGGCAATCTGCAATCTTATTAATTTCTTTATTGTACCTTTTGATAAGGTGTACATTCAAAACAAATGAGTGTAACTCTTTTTATTCTCTTTCTCTGTGGATTTTATGATGAACGTCTAGGAATTTTCCGAACATCCCTCGTAGAACAGAGAAAAACACAATCTATTAAGAAAGCCCAAGAAGACAAAATTGAAAATGTTGCAGGCTCTGTTTGATTGAGCCTGTTCATGGACCGTACAGGAAAGTGCAAAAAATATTGCAGGCTCTGTTTGATTAAGCCTGTTCATGGACCGTACAGAAAAGTGCAATTTACCGTCCACGCCCCCTTCAACGGCTTAAGAAGAATTCAACATTTAAGACACAAAAATGGTGAATTTTTAATTGCAAAACATCCACTGATGTATTCATATAGCGGTTATCAAAGAACTTCCAATGTGAAACGTTATTGCCATACCATGAAAAGCGGCATATGGTTTCCAAGTAAAAAAAAAACGTGTGCCCTAAACGAGAAAACAATGGGCGAAACGAAAAAAAAAATAGAATTTCAAAAGGGGACAAGTGGTTATGAAGTCTGCATATCACAGCTGTTAAAAGACAACATTTAGAAGCAGGCAACATATCCTTAGGGTGATTCAACAATATTCCGATAAGGAACACTGGAACCACCCCACGAGAGAAAAACATATTGGATAGAAATAAAAGTACCGAAATATGCAATAACAACAATAATGTCGTGCTACACGATCTTCAAGGATCCCCTTATCTAAATAATTGGTCGTAAGCCTTCGTTTTCTGTTCTTTATATTCAAGTTTGTTAGTTTGTTAACTAAGATTCTCAGCGTTACAGCGACGTTCTATGTTTGCATATGAAACACATATCAACATAGGTATTAGACTGTGTAGTTTAATAACAATACATCGTCAAAGATATATAAGTTAGGAGAATCATCCAAAGTCTTTATATTTTGAATTGTTTCTTTACTCACAATATTTTTTATAGAAATTTACTTCAAGTGACAGACGATTATAAGGTTTAGTTAAAGTCAGTTTCAAGAAACGTCTTATTATTTTAGCCAATCAAAATGATTGTTTTTATTCACTGCGGGGATGGGATGATGCTTCACAAGCATATAACTAGATATCTGGTACTAAGGACGTTTTATGATTTCTGTTAAATACCTTTGGCATAAATTATTTTTGGAAATATATTTTTGGTTAGTTTTGGTTTGGTTCCGTACGGTTAAGTTATATTAACATAACTGCAAATCGGCTCTTACTCGGCAGTAATTAGTGTAACCGCTTTTTTCATGAAGAAACCAGTGCTGATAGTAAAAATTGTGATTGGCATATTTTGATTTGCTCAGCTCAGCTCGCAGAGACAAATGAGTACACAGTAACTTTTTGATATCCTTTTAACTCTAAGAAAAATGTCAATTATTAATTGCTGACTGTTAATATTTTCTAGAAAAAGTAAGCAAAACTTTATTTTGTTTCACATGACAGGAATGAATTGCATTAACAATCCTAGGTATTGTTGAAAACTCATTGTTTTACTTGCCAGATTAAGTAACTTGATCCCTTCCTTGTTTGTACGTGACTGCTGGGGAAAAACTATGTTATGCTTAATTAAAGAGGTGACACTTTCTATATTTTATCTGATATCAAGTTGTAAGAGCCGTTTTGCAGTTACGGTCGTCTTTATACAAACTCTTACCAATACTAGTACCCAGACATCTTAGATATCTGGTGCTAAACATATCTTTGCTTCTTCAGGAACTATTTTATGAGAAAAATAGTAAGTCTGCCTGTTGTCCTTGTAAGAGTTGGATATAAGTGATATTGTATTTACTGGTACCCAGACATCTTAGATATGTGGTGCTAAAAATACTTGATCGTTTCAATAAAACCTCTTGGGCAAATGGTTAATGTGAGATAGTTTATTTCGGAAATAGTATTTTAAAGGATAGATTTTTGAACAATTGGTTATTTTGAGATAAGAAATTTTTGTATTGAAATATTAAAGTAAGAAATAAATTTGTGTTAGATTTAGGAATACGAATTTTTGTTTAAAAGTAAATTGTTTAGTTGTTTCTTGATATAATTTGATAATTAGTTTGAGATTGTTATTTTTGCATTTTATTATTTCTGGAATATTTAGTATAAGTTGATATCTAATCAAAAGGTTAAGAAACCGCAAGACAAAAATTATATTTGAATATATTTCAAATCAATTTGGATAAGCTATCCCAAGAAAAATTATATATTTGCATTTGAAAATATTGTGATTTTATTTTGTAGCAATAGATTAAAAAAATCAACAGCTCGGTACACGCTACACTTTCGAGGAACTATAGAAACTTCAAATAACATTTCGAGTTTTTTACAATTATGCTTCAGCATTACAAAATAAATTCAAAATTGTAAAACTTACCGTTGAATTTGCTAATAAGACATCCTGAAAGTTCATCTGTCATTTGTGTTAACGGAAACCAACATATCTTTCATACCGGTTCACATAGATGCAAAGTGATCTGTGTAAGTGTGTAAATTAACCAAAGTACAATGTTCTCGATTCACTCAGGTGCGATTTTGTTTATGAAGTTGATGTTTGCTACATTCAAAAATGTCATGTCAGAGAGTCATCACAGCTTTTTTTGTCTGCTTTAAAAGATAAATACAAACATTCTGTCTTTGTATATTTTACTTAGGATTTAAAAGGAAACTCGATGAAATGAAAGAAAACGTACATGCAAAAAGAAAAGGTAGGTTGACAAATTCCAAAATACTCTTTTGTTCACATATCTATCAACATTATACATTTCGATTTAACTGCATTTTTAATACGAAATAAAGAAAAGCAACATCTTTCCCAAAAATGTTGTTTTGAAAGTAGTGATTTTACTACAGTGAAATATAATAATTGCCAGGACATGTTTTTGCTGCGTGTAAACTCGAAATATATTTCAAAAAGAAAACCCTTATGCAATGTTTTCATTGGTGGCATAGACATGTGTTAAAATATAACTGTTGGTGTACAGGGGTGAAATAGAAGTTGATCTTGCATGCGTAACAAACACATTTCCTATGAATTACATGCGTTTTAGTAGTAACATGTAATTTTGACAACTCTTTTGCGCGTCAGACAATGCGCTTTTATTCATAACGTCTGCAAAACATGACGTCACACTGTTCATATTGTAAAGTAAATATGTATTATTCCATCGCTTTTTGTTTTGATTTACAACATGATATGAGCAAGAAATTGTGTTATTCTTGTTATTAATCGCATTTAACCTACAAATATGTGTTTTTTCCACTTTATTTTCATTTACTTATTTCATTTCCTGACCATCCGCATTAAAAAAAGTCTATGGACATAAATTATATTTTATAAAATCACCGTTTAAAAGATGCATTTTCACTTTCCGTTCATTAGTATAAAAAAGAACATGTTTAAAAAAATATATTTAACAGGGAATTCAGATGCTCTTCCGGTCTATGATAATGCATACATTCGAAAAACAAGAAGTGGAACTTTGCTTGGAACATCTCAAGGTAGGTGGAACGAATATATCAAAGACTATGTGGCATCCAAGTTTTTGTGTTGTTAAAATAAAACACTTCTATTAATTCTATGAAGTACAGAAAATTGTAATCTAGTTTTTTTTGTAAGCACTACTTCAGTAAAGTAACAAACATACTTAACGCGCAATAACGGGTTAAATGAATTATGTGTCGACTTACTACACCTTCGTTATCGTTCAAATGTATCTAGTTTTTTTTGTAAGCACTACTTCAGTTGGTAAAGTAAGCAAATATACTTAACGCGCAATAACTGGTTAAATGAATTATGTGTCGGCTTACTAAGCCTTCGTTATCGTTCATATGTTTTGCATTACGTTAAAATGCTTATTTTAGCGTTATTTCGCAATCAATCAACTGTGCTTAATCATGTATGTTCCATGCCAAAGTGCCAATTCGATTTAATATGTCATACGATTATCATTAATTTATATGGCATTACGTCCCCTGCCAGTTTGACTTAAATTGCCTTCATCGCGTTTCTTTTGAGATACTGTGCCTTTTTAACAGCGGACCTACTTCATATGGTTCAGCAAAAAGTCCATCGAGCATATTATGTTATACCCCCCTGGCGTCCGTCCGTCAGTCCGTTTGCAATTTGGTTTCCGGAGCATTACTTAAGTTCAATTTGGCCCACAACATTCAAACTTCATAGGATGATTGTCCATATTGGGTAGGAGACCCCTATTGATTTTGGGGTCACAAGGTCAAAGGTCAAGGTCACTATTACTTTAAAACTGTAAACAGTTTCCGGAGCATAACTTAAGTACTATTTGGCCCACAATATTCAAACTTCATAGGATGATTGTCCATATTGGGCAGGAGACCCCTATTGATTTTGTGGTCACACAGTCAAAGGTCAAGGTCACTATTACTTTAAAACTGAAAACAGTTTCCGGAGCATAACTTAAGGTCTTTTTGGCCCACAGTATTCAAACTTCATAGGATGATTGTCCATATTAGGTAGGAGACCCCTATTGATTTTGGGGTCACAAGGTCAAAGGTCAAGGTCACTATTACTTTAAAACTGAAAACAGTTTCCGGAGCACAACTAAAGTTCTATTTGGCCCACAATATTCAAACTTCATAGGATGATTGTCCATATTGGGTAGGAGACCCCTATTGATTTTGTGGTCACACGGTCAAAGGTCAAGGTCACTATTACTTTAAAACTGAAAACAGTTTCCGGAGCATAACTTAATTTCTATTTGGCCCACAATATTCAAACTTTATAGGAGGATTGCTATTGGAAGGAGGTAATACTTTATTTAGTTTATGTAATGGTCTTACAAATGCCTTGAACCTTAATAAAAAAAACACTTTCGGGCATATAATGCTCCGCCTAGCGGTGCTCTTGTTTTTCTTCTCATTCTTCGATTCCCAGTATTACACCGTCTTTCTATGTTTTAAAACACATATCAACATATGTATCACAATGTGCATATTAGAACATCTTATGTTGTTTAGTTATCCAAAGTATTGGTCGAACAAGGAGTTTGTGTTGTGTGTATGTTTTACATTTATAACGGATCAACATTGTGTGTTTGTCCTACATTCGTTAATTTTATTCATCGATATGCTAGTTTTTTTGACGAACCTAAACTAACAAACAGCATAAAGTTGTTAAAAAAAAATGACAGCACATCAATTCGAGGAACTATAGAAATGTCGAATAGTATTTTGATTTCTTTTTTCAATTTTTCTTCAACATCACAAACAAAAAAATTGTAAAACTTTCTGTTAAATTAGCTGACAGAAGAGTCCCAATATGGAGTTAATTGCTCATATGTTTTACCGGAAACGAAGATATTTTTTGTAACCGATGCACACATATATATCCTAAGTGATCTGCGTAAATAAGTTCATTAAACAAAATTCTATGTTTTGCTTCATCCAGATACGTGTTTGTTTATAAAGATGGTGTTTTCTTTATTCAAAAATGTCACGTTTTAAGAAAATATTTTATCTGACAGGATATTCAGATGCATTTCCGGTCAATGTTAATGCATACATTCGAAAAACAAGACGTGGCGACTCTGCTTGGAACATCTGAAGGTAGGTTGAACGAGTATATTTGAATAAAATTTATTATACCAAAGAGCCTGTTTTAACGACAGCCATATTTGTTGTGTTGTTAAAAAAAACCTGTGTTAGCTACATGAAGTACGGGAAACTGTATACCAGTTTTAATAAGATTTACTTTAGTTGTCGGTGCAACAAATATTCAATTTCAAGTGACATTATGCCCATCAATAAGTAAACAGTGGTGTTTCAGGTAAAAATTAAATGGCCCACAACATTCAAACTTCATAGGATGATTGTCCATATTGGGTAGGAGACCCCTATTGATTTTGGGGTCACAAGGTCAAAGGTCAAGGTCACTATTACTTTAAAACTGTAAACAGTTTCCGGAGCATAACTTAAGTACTATTTGGCCCACAATATTCAAACTTCATAGGATGATTGTCCATATTGGGCAGGAGACCCCTATTGATTTTGTGGTCACACAGTCAAAGGTCAAGGTCACTATTACTTTAAAACTGAAAACAGTTTCCGGAGCATAACTTAAGGTCTTTTTGGCCCACAGTATTCAAACTTCATAGGATGATTGTCCATATTAGGTAGGAGACCCCTATTGATTTTGGGGTCACAAGGTCAAAGGTCAAGGTCACTATTACTTTAAAACTGAAAACAGTTTCCGGAGCACAACTAAAGTTCTATTTGGCCCACAATATTCAAACTTCATAGGATGATTGTCCATATTGGGTAGGAGACCCCTATTGATTTTGTGGTCACACGGTCAAAGGTCAAGGTCACTATTACTTTAAAACTGAAAACAGTTTCCGGAGCATAACTTAATTTCTATTTGGCCCACAATATTCAAACTTTATAGGAGGATTGCTATTGGAAGGAGGTAATACTTTATTTAGTTTATGTAATGTCTTACAAATGCTTGAACCTTAATAAAAAAAACACTTTCGGGCATATAATGCTCCGCCTAGCGGTGCTCTTGTTTTTCTTCTCATTCTTCGATTCCCAGTATTACACCGTCTTTCTATGTTTAAAACACATATCAACATATGTATCACAATGTGCATATAGAACATCTTATGTTGTTTAGTTATCCAAAGTATTGGTCGAACAAGAGTTTGTGTTGTGTGTATGTTTTACATTATAACGGATCAACATTGTGTGTTTGTCCTACATTCGTTAATTTTATTCATCGATATGCTAGTTTTTTGACGAACCTAAACTAACAACAGCATAAAGTTGTTAAAAAAAATGACAGCACATCAATTCGAGGAACTATAGAAATGTCGAATAGTATTTTGATTTCTTTTTTCAATTATTCTTCAACATCACAAACAAAAAAATTGTAAAACTTTCTGTTAAATTAGCTGACAGAAGAGTCCCAATATGGGAGTTAATTGCTCATATGTTTTACCGGAAACGAAGATATTTTTGTAACCGATGCACACATATATATCCTAAGTGATCTGCGTAAATAAGTTCATTAAACAAAATTCTATGTTTTTGCTTCATCCAGATACGTGTTTGTTTATAAAGATGGTGTTTTCTTTATTCAAAAATGTCACGTTTTAAGAAAATATTTTATCTGACAGGATATTCAGATGCATTTCCGGTCAATGTTAATGCATACATTCGAAAAACAAGACGTGGGACTCTGCTTGGAACATCTGAAGGTAGGTTGAACGAGTATATTTGAATAAAATTTATTATACCAAAGAGCCTGTTTTAACGACAGCCATATTTGTTGTGTTGTTAAAAAAAACCTGTGTTAGCTACATGAAGTACGGGAAACTGTATACCAGTTTTAATAAGATTTACTTTAGTTGTCGGTGCAACAAATATTCAATTTCAAGTGACATTATGCCCATCAATAAGTAAACAGTGGTGTTTCAGGTAAAAATTAAATGAAATTAAATTTTGTCATATTTTTGTTCAATTTTATAATAATTTTCAGCTCAACAAATAAGATTCCCTTGAATAAAAAATTCGTGTAAATATCCTTCTGAGTGACGCTGTCTTTCTAATTTTTTAGGCTGTTTTAATATATTATTTTCAATCTTATTTATTCAATGATCGTTATAATAATTTGTATTTCGAAATATTTAACTTTGCTTAGCTAAACAATGAAAAGATTAGCATAAGGTCACTAAAATAAATATATTGATAATTTATGCCGTTGCCATGAAACTTATCTTATTTGGAATATTAACATGAAGTACACATGTTGCTGCAATGCAGCAATTGAAAAGCACCGCGCGAAAAAAAAAATGCGCTCATTACAGATGCTTTACCAAATCATTCCTACGCACAGGTCATGTTCTATTCAGATTAAGTACTATTATACATTATTCCGAATGTTTTGTAAATCATTTTTTTTTGCATAAATATACTTTTGTATGCACTGTCCATTAGAGAGGGGCCAGATATTAAATTAAAAAAATATGCTTTCACTGATGCCTTCCTGGTAAGAAAAGTAATACAAACAAGAATTCCAAGACTTGTGACTAGTAGTGAATGGTCAGAATACAGTTTTGTTTCGAGCAGAAAATGAGCAACAATACGTAATCAATTATTGTCAATTAGTGTATTGCGTCATGTGTATTGCATCAGCCGTGTATTATTACACCCTGAAGCAGAGAACGCACGAAAGTAGATGCTTATCATACACGATTAATAAGTGACATGTATGAATAATATTTATATTTAGAAAATGTGTATTGGTCATTGAAAAAGATGCTTATCAGTGTCAATAAATCAAAAAAGAGATTTATTTTTACGAAAAAAGATGCTTATCGATCATTAGTATCATGTAAATTGTAAGAAAATCTTTTATTGGCATTTTTTATGAAAGATACGAGGTGATTTTACCGATTTCATTAAAATCATTTGACAGAAAGAAATTAAAGGAATATTGTAGATTACGAATGTGTGTTTTGATAATTTAATTGAACAACAATGAGACTTTTTACGAAATAGAACGCTGATCGATCATTGAAAAATAAAAATTGTAGAAATGATTTTATGAATGATACAGTGCGATTTTATCAATTTCTTTTTAAAAAGGCACATTATGCCTCAGATATCCATGTCAAATTTATTAAACTCTTCAGAAATGTGAAACATACCTTTAATTATGTTTTAATAATGGTTTAAGAGCATGTTAGATGTTAAACAGCTGTAGAAATGTAGCAAATAAACTTGAATGTACAGCAATGTTTCGTAAATGTATCAAGATGTAAACAAAGTGGTATTTTAAGAAAAGCCGATTCTTGAAAGAGTTTTTAAATCAAACATCTCTGTTATTTAGCACTTGAATATTGAAAGTACAAAGAGAACAAAACATTATGCCGTTTTTACAAATAGATATTTAACCATTAATCAAATGCTATTCGCCATTAAGGACATATGAAAACATAATTATGACTTTTATATAAGCGTTTTCGAGTTCATTGCTTTTCAAAATTTAATCTAACATATAACAGATATATAGTTTTACACTCTTTAATCAATTGGAAAGAAAGATATACGCTTATCATTTGTATCATTTAATTATAAGATGGATGTTTTTATTTCAGATAAAATTGAGGAGACGCGTTTGTCAGCATGTTACGGATGCGAACACGGAAATGTATCACGGACCGACCGTCTGTGTATTGCTAGATTAGGAAGAAAAATTAAATAATAACTTATTATATTTACATACCAATTGTGGATCAGGTTTCCTATATAAGAAATACACTTCTGTTACTCTCCTCACTGATTATTACTGTGCTCTTTTAACTGTAAATGGTTAAATGATAAGTGATAATACAAGATAGTAAATAGTGATGTACCAATTACCAAATTATTAGAAATATTAGCTGGCATCTTGATTACAAGGTACATGTCCAATATACATGTTTACACAGATACTAAATTAATACAAATAAAGCAATACTCATTTGTGACCCAAAAAAGATGAATAAATAGTAATAAATAAGACCAACCAACCTCAACCTTTAATTTCCAAGAAACACCAAAATAGTTATAAAAATTAATAAAGTTCAGCAAAGCTAGTTCACTTTTGATTACTCAGTACCAAGACTTGTGCAAGAGTGAGCACTATGTCACATGACCACAATAATTGGTTCAAAAACAGCGGGAAATCAAATGCTTGACTAATCACTCAAATTTACAATGAAAGGGAGATTAAAGACAACTCTGTAAAAATAAAATGCGAAAAGTTTAAAATAAACGAAACGACCAAAACCACGAACTGGTTACAGCTGTTCTACAGAAATAAGAAACTTCGACGGGAGCGATAGCGACCGGAGAATGTTTCTAATTTCTGTAGAACAGCTACGGATGAATACTAACATATTTAGTGTCAAACTTTATTTGGTCTTATTAATATTCACTTTATAACGTCAATACCAGTGCGCTTTTATTAATCAATTACCTGAATGGTGGGTTTATAAATATGCATGATTTACGTCATTTTGCGTGCGAAGACGTATGTACCCCTTGTGTTTCAGTTGGGAAATATGAAGGACGGCATGTGGCTGATGCGAGTTTCCATTTGCTCGATATTGAAACATTTATTTTCATAAAACATTTTGATGAGTTGGATAATTGTTACACACCAGTTACACAGAGCCATCGGTGATTGATCGGTAGTTTTTTCAGCCAAATTATGGAGTGAACCGATGACAACGTATTTAACACCGATATCACTTATTGGTCACCTGTTTTCCACCTATCAACTGCTATTGGGGAAAGATAAGTTTCATCGGTGAAAAGTTACCGATTGGGATTTTTAAACATGTTTAAAATTCTCGATCGGTGAAAATATTTTACAGATAACCGACAGCAACCTATATCACGAGATATGCAAGCTCTTAATCACCGATATCGCCGATCGGACAATGATAACCAAATATGAATCACCGCCATATTGACGGAAAGTTGTTTAAATCACTGATGACTAGCTATCAAACACGATTAAATCAGCGTTACGCCCGATTTAGCTCCGATTTACCAAACGATAAAAACCGATAGTATTTCATCATTTTTATCACCGACCCAACCCCGTTTGAGTTTGCTGTCTGTCACCGATGGCCGTTTACATAGAAATCCAGAAATAAAATCACGCATGACAACCGATCATAACAGCGAGTGAATTTAAAAAAAAAATGACCGATTGGGGACCGACCGTCTGTGTAACTGGCCCTTACCTGATATGATTTATACACTTAGATGAGTAAGGCAACTGATACTCAGTATTCACTCATCGGTGAAAAATTACCGATTGGGATTTTTAAACATGTTTAAAATTCTCGATCGGTGAAAATATTTTACAGATAACCGACAGCAACCTATATCACGAGATATGCAATCTCTTAATCACCGATATTACCGATCGGACAAAGATAACCAAATATGAATCACCGGCCATATCTGACGGAAAGTGTTTAACCACAGATGACTAGCTATCAAACACCGATTAATCAGCGTTACGCCCGATTTAGCTCCGATTTACAAACGATAAAAACCGATAGTATTTCATCATTTTTATCACCGACCAAATCCCGTTTGAGTTTGCTTTCTGTCATCGATGGCCGTTTACACAGAAAACCAGAAATAAAATCACGCATGACAACCGATCATAACAGCGAGTAAATTTAAAATTAAATGATCGATTGGGGACCGACCGTCTGTGTAACTGGCCCGTTAAGTCAAATGAAGGCAGAATACACAATACAAATAGCAGCTTTTTAATGAAGAAGCATAGTAGGAACAAAATTAAGTCAGGAAAACCTTCCTTAATCAAAGTGTAATACTAGTAATGTAAACACAATCTATTTTTATGAAGTTTTTGTTTTGCGTTATGACACGTTAAAAACATTTCTGTCTGATTACTACGCATTTCCTCTACATTTTATACATTTTGTTTTCCGTAATAACATATTGTATGCGTTATCTCGCAATCACCTATTCTTTATTATATATGATCCGTGCCGAAGATCGTATTTCAAGTTAATAGAGTTACTACGTTTTACGTTTACGTTAAGCATAAATCTATCTTACATTGTTACCCCTGCCAGCTTGATATAAGTCGCATTCATTGTGTTACTTTTGCGTGACTGCGACATTTTAAAGGGGATCAACTTAATGGTTCACCGAAAAGTGTATCGGTTAAAAGATAAAATAGAGAAAAACAGAATCTCTAAAGAAATTTGTTTCCGGTAAAGCATTTATTGGTCAAGCTCCAATATGAGGTAGATATTGAAGGTCAGTTTTTACAATTTTGAGTTATTTTTGTTAAATATGAACTATTTTTGTTAGATAATCAAAAGCTATTTGACCCTTACATACCGACATTCATGCGTAATCATTTGATGCAGGATTTTATGAGAAGTGTTTGTCGTCGTGGGTTTAGGTGTGTCACACATACAACGTGATGATAAAGACATATGACTGACATAAACTCAAATAAATTTACAATCACAAACACTTGATCAGTATTGATGAAAAACATTCATACAAAGCATTGTTCGATAGATATGTTAGACATAAGCACCGAATGAAGGGAGAAATTGTAGTATGCATATTGCGACCAATATGTAGCTGTGCATCGTGTTCAAATTCTGATATATGTATACAAATAATATCTTTTGTATCAAAAACAACACCA